TAATATATCTAGTAACAATAGTATGAGCCATCTATTTTCAACGTTTCCAAGTGTTTATCACCATTTTTAAAAATCTAAATATTATAATTAGAGTTGGATATGGACTTTCAAGCTATTGTAGGTTTTCCAACTCCGAGACTGCATCTTCCAACAAAATACAGAGGTAGGGGTGGCAATGGACCAAGACCCGATTCTGCATCTTCCAACAAAATACAGAGGTAAGGGTGGCAATGGACCCAGACCCGATTTGGGACCTGAGGCTTAGACGTGATATGGGTCAAAAAACTGGTCGGGTCGTCATCCAAAGCTTGCACTACTCAATCCGGGTCCATGTACGGTAATATTTTTTCGGTCCTAATAATTGAAATATAATTAAATAATTTTTGGATCGGGTCTAGGTCACACACTATATTCAAGTCCGGGTCTACGTTTGGTCGGGTCCATGTTCCATAACATTTTTGGGGTTTGATTTGGACTCGTCCTGTTACCACCCCTGAATAGACCAGAGGTGTGCCTTACCTCTAATAAGTATTTTAATAGAAATTTCCAAGAAAAGGACATGCAACTTTATACCTAACATCTTATTTTCTATTAATGCGTACCCGACAACCTACGTAATAAAGGTATCTATTTTTTCAGAAGCTGAATAGTGTTACTCGTGTGGGGATAGGGAATATTTTCATCCTAATTTGGTGAGGAACAATTTCCTTTTTAAACACAAATTAGGCATCTTACCCCATATATGACATAAATGGATAAAGGTTTCCAGTGCCGATCTAATTTGCCCAATGGATGGATTTAAATTTGTGTTGATCTGACGGTTAATGTTGTAGCGTGATAATTAATTTTTGAATTTTTTTATATATTTGAAGCATGAGTGATTTAAAAGCGAAAAACAAACAAAAAAAAAAAAAGAGAAAGAAACATCACATTGTTCTTATTTTTCAAAGGAAGGGTGTGGTTTGCATAAGGTTGTAACCTTAAACAATCAAAGTAAGGCGCACCTCCAAACTCTTTCATAAGATACAATTTTGATGTGGAAAATTTTATGATTGTCTGAGAATCTATTTTCCTATCTAATTATAAAAAACTAAACTCTAAAAAGTGTTCAATACAACTAGAAAATAAGATCTATTATCTCATGAAAATATTGTGAATGGATAGACCAGATAATGTGTTTCAAGATGTACTATTTTTAAGTCTTGAAATTTTTTTTCTCCATATTCATATATATTGATGTCCAGATGATTAATTTCATGGTTTTCCATTATCAAAATAGCTTTTCTTGAAGGCCTTTTGAGGTGCATCTTAATTCTACAATATAAGGCATCAACTTTATGTAAACTTTTTCCTTTTTTAAAATAAAAAATTTACATAAGATAATACACTTAAATATGACAAATATACTCCTAGTTCTACATAGCTAATACATAACAATATGCTATTTATTTGTAGTGCAGAACAATTAAGAGCATTTTTGTCATTTGGGTAAAGTCTCATGGGTCAAATTACTGAAATAGCCCTCTTTGGTTCTCATTCCAAATATTGGATAAGGGTAATTTTGGTATTTTAAAAAGTAAGATGGCACTGAGTGAAATAGAAAAATAAAGTAAAATATGCCTTCAAATGTAAGTAGGGATCATATGAGCCCTTTAATGATATTTTAAAGGGTTTCATCCCCAATGATATTTCTAAAAACATTATTGCCTCATCTCTAGACCTTTTCAAGATAATACTTTGGGAATAAAAAATCTCTATGCTGGCTCTAAAATCAATTTCCACCACCTATTATAGAAATTGTAGCGAAAAAATGATGCAGATCTTGCAAATCCATGAACACTTAAAAATGAACCATATAGATAATGTGTCATACATTGGATACCCGCAAAGAAAATTTGAGATGCATTATGATGATAGAGTACATACTCTCACAAGAGCAAAAATATACAAAAACTTCCCCAGAAAAAACCTGGCTAGAGGCATAGGCTAGTCTTCATAGTTGCCACTAGTGGTTTACAAAATAGATCGGTGTCTCGGATGGTTTACAAAATAGATCGGTGAATCGGCGTTTCGAATCGGGAATCAGTTGGATTCGGCTTTAAAAAAAAATTTAAAAATTATTAAAAATCATTATAAATGTTTCTTTTTAGAAATCATTATAAATGAGAGCACTACATTAGTAGCTTCTATTTTTTGCATCAATATACGAATATTGAAATGTTATTTATTTGAATGAAGATTCTCATCAAACATTTATTAAAACCTAACTAAATACAATATTATACATTAAAATTATAATTATTGGTTTGTATTTTATTATTTTATCATCATTTTAATATACAAATAATAATAAATTTGAAATTTGTCTTATAATATCATCTAATTTAAAAATATAATTGACAATTATAACAAAAAACAATACATTGCATAATTTATAATGCAAATAAATTAATAAATAAAATATAAATTTTGACTATCATTGTAATTAGTATAATTATTAATTACAATATTGTAATAAACATGATTAAAAAAACAAGGGTATGACCTTCACAAATAAATAAATCTAATATATAATAATTAGTGTTAATAGAAATATGTAATTTAGTAACATAAATTTGCAATCATATTTAAATAAATTTTTAAAAATAAAAAAATAAATTCATATTTGCAATGTGAGATAATTGATAATGTAACTTGAAATAAATTCTCACATCGAAGTTATGTGCACGCTACAAGACGAGCCCACTATTTTAAACCTTCTTTTGCTTTAGGGATAATGAATAGTCTCACATCAAAGATTTTTAGAAGGCAGAGTCAATATAAAATGGCTTTAACATGGCTAGGCGTAATATTATTCAAATAAAAAGAAAAGTAATATTTTTCAAATAAAAAGAAAAGTCAAATCAACATAGTGGCTTGGAAGATTTTTCCACTTTTCAATCGAATCACATTTTATGGGAGGACCCGGGGCCGATACCGGATCTGAATCGCTCAATTCCGGATCGAATCACCAATTTTTTAAAACACTAGTCGCTACGGCTTTAAGCCTAATGTGCGTGAGGCAAGATTTTTCAAAAAAGAAAAAAAGTCAAATCATCAGAGTGGCTTGAGGACTTTTCATCCGAATCCCATGTTATGGTCGGATCCGAAACGGGCAAGATCTAAAACGGGTTAGCCGATACCTAATTCAAACGGGTTAGCCGATACCTAATTCAAATCGCTCTATTCCAAATCGCGTCAGTTTTTTAAAACATTGGTTGCCACCACTTAAAACCTGATAGGGTTGGCCTACACTAGGTGGGGGTACCCACGTAGTCTGGCATGCTTTATTTAAAAAAAAAAAAAAAGGTAAAATCAACATGATGGCTTGGAAGATTTTTCAATTAAAAAAATAGTAAAATCAGGCTTGAACACTTTTCAACCGAATCCCATTTTATAGCTGGATTTGGAACAAGGGCTGGCCAATATTTTATCCCATTTTATGGTCGAATTCAGAACGGGCTCGCCAACATCCAATTCGGATCGCTGATTTTCCGTTCGGGTCGCCGTTTATTAAGTCCCGTGGAGTAAAGTAAGTAGAAAGTACATTTTGCGGGCTTTGCAATTTTCCCTTTCTTTTATCAAAAATTTGGTACGTAGCAGAGATAAAACCATCGCTCTAAATTCTCATTCCTGTATCAGCAATCCACCGAAGAAACAGACATGGCGATTACTTGGCACCTCCTGTTTCTGCAAGTCTTCTGTTTCTGTCTCTTCTCATCCTTTACTCCATCGAACTCTTTGGGGTACATTCTCTTCCACCGAAGCCCTAATTTTTCAATTTAAACACTGGGGTTTCGATCTATTTCCTCTTTTTTTTAATTTCCGTAATTCTTGTAAGTGGGTAGTGTAAATTTATAGGGCATGGAAAATTTGATAGTTGTTGGATATGCAGGACTGCCGAAGGTTCTACAATTAATGGCAGGGTAAAGATTGAAGGTATGGTATGCAATGTATTGTTACACTATGTAATAAGTTACGCTTGTTAGGACCTGGTATAGATTTGTCTTTGTTTAACTCTGTTTTGTCTTTGATCTGGTTATTTAAATGGTAATTGAGATCTTGAGTGTTTGTTCTTGATGGTTTATTTTTCCTCTCATTTAGTTGCAGTGTCGTGGATTATATACGTACAAAGCAGAGATCTATTTCGACACTGTTAAGCTGTGGAATTTTTCTGTTTGCGAGTGATTTGTCGTTGAACTCATTTGAATGGATAATTGATTGGCGAATATTGCCCTTTCTTTTTTTAAAATAAAATTGTGATGATCGTTATCTTCTATGGAGATTAATCCTACTCATTCAGCATTGGTGATAATCGTGGGCAATTGATGGTGTTGAAAAAGTAGAGGAGTGGATCATGAGTGAAAATGTTAACATGAAGTGTTGAGTTTTAGTTTATTATAGAAAAAGGTAAATCTTGGAACTTCAAATATTAGGTTGTAAATGTATCGAAAGAAATTCTAGTTATTAATCTGAGATATAAGCTAAGCTAAGACTAGAGTGGATATAGATACAAACCCATCTGCAAAGACAAGATAGATAATCAATTTAACTTAATTAAGGTTAACCTTCTCAAAAAAAAAAAATCAATTTAACTCAATTAGAGTACAAAAGCCTGGAGCTCTTTACTAAGAACTATGATTATTCTTCAAAAATTGTGCACCTTCTCGTAAGTGTTGTTACTTCTTGACAATCCGTAGGTGATCTCTTTTATAATTTTCTTCCTCCATAAACATGTTTTTTTTTTGTTTGTGAGGAAATGGTGATCTTTATATTAATAGTAGAGTGTATTACATCTAAATTTTTAAAGACCACATCCCACAAATTGGGTGCTCAGACTACAATATGAACATTTGGAGGGGGAAGAGATAAAAATAGTGTAGAAACGAAAAACAATCCAAGAAAAACAAGAAAGAAGAAACAAACACAAAAGAAAGAGACAATATATCATAACGCAAAAATATACGTGGTTCGGCAACGTGTCTACATTCACTGGAGATTAGAGCTTCTTTACTGGCACTGGAAAATAGGGTTACAATACTCTCTTCTTCACGCCTCTTTGTTTTTATCTAATACAAAGAAATCTGCATTTTTCCCTAAACGATTAACTTTGGATGAACCCCCAATCTCAACGATATATATCAAGTCTCAGATAGATGGTACAAATTACCGAAATACCTTTGTACGGATATATATATCAAGTTTCAGATATATCGAATCCCATATACGGATATATCCAAATTTTTCCTCGTGGGCTACCGCCCCCGAACCCCCGCAGGGGCCGAATCCATCAAGTCAACCTGTTAGGACGATTCCTTTAAGCTTTTAACAACCTTTCAGAATCGTCTTTTTGACTTCACCTTGGCAAATATATTTCCTCAAAATACAAGACATCAATCCTCAACAAAAAAAAATACATAAATAGGGTAGAGGAAAAGATGAGAGCATTAGAGAGTAGAATAGGTAAACAATGTCTTGAGAAGAATTAGTGTTTTGTTTGGTGTTGTCACCAGTGTAGGAGTGGTCTTAAGTTCCCAAAATCGTCCGAGATCTTTATGGCTCAGGGAGGGGAGAATGTGGTTGGTCTTAAGTTCTAAAAAATCATCTAAGATCTTTATGGCTTAGGGAGGGGAGAATGTGGCTGGTCTTAAGTTCCCAAAAATCATCCAAGATCTCTATGGCTCAGGGAGGGGAGAATGTGGGGGACAAAGGGAGGGAGGAGGATTGTAGAGGGATGAAAAGTAGGCTGAGAAGAATTTAGGTTGAAGGAACAAGGGGCAAACAAACGAGGGATGTAGAAAAGGAGAGTTGGGGAAGAGAGAAAAGGCAGTTTAGAGGGAGATTAGAGAGAGGGGGAAGTTAGAGAGGGTGAATGGTTGGGGGGAGCAGCAGACCGAGAGAGAAGTTGTGATCTCTCTCTTTTTTTTTTTGTAAGAGAGGGGGAGGAGAAGAGAGGAGGTAAAGGGTATGAGGTATCGAGTGATTGGCAGTGCACCTGTGAGGCAAAGGTTAACTTTTCACTGTTGCTTTCCTGTCAAATGCCAGCACGGATATGGAAGAATTCTCTAAAAGAAAAATAATAATAATGAAACCAACACAAATTTCTATGAGATATATTTCTTAAGTACCAAACTAGAAGAGCATACTGTGTTTTCTAGAGGTGGAAAGTGAGGGAAGAGGAAATCATACTTTGTTGAAGGTGATTACATTTAGAGCTTGTGAAGATGTCTGTGGAATATGTTCTTTAGTGCAACACTTTGGTCGAGAAGCCGCTTTTGAATGAGAGAACAAAAAGTGGTGGTCACAAGTGTTTGGTTCGCTGTGTCGTGATTTTATCATACGCTTAACTTCTTGGTTCAGTAGTGAAGCTCTCCCATCTTAGCCCCTGAAATAAAAGTCTTAGCAGGTTCAAGTGATAAGATACATACTGACACAAGTATCAAAAGTTCAAAACACGTATGCACAACACAGACACATAGTGACAGATGTGTGCATGTAGCATGTAGTATGTAGTATGTAGTATGCATGATAGCAATGATTTCATTCACGAATGGAAAATTACAGTAATTAGCTCATGGTAGCAATCAGTAATCAACTATTATCACGATTCACATTTTCTAGAATTATCTCTACAAACTTACAAAGTTTACTTCTCTGGACCTGTTAGTTGTATTTAATGCGCTGATTTAAGTTCACAGAATTGAAAGCTCGACGTATCCTTACTTGTCTCTCTATCTCTTTCCCCTCAAATAAAACTCTCTCCCCCCCCACCACTGCTCTCTCTCGCCTAGTCTAGACCTGGTCTCTATCTTAACATTGGTGTGCACCCTAAAAGCCCTTTTCTCATCCATTTCCCACCTAAAACCCTAAGAATCCCCATCAAGATCCTCCTTTCTCTCTCCTTCCATTATGCGCTGATCTAGAGCTCTGATGTTCTGAAATGTTGTCAAATTCTTACGGCCCCAAAGGGCTTGGGCTCTGCAATGGTTCTCCTATTTCTAGGTGTGGTGGGAGTCACATACTACACAGCTGTTATCACCAGTTACTCTTCCAATGATTTCCCGAATTCTAGGGTTTTTTATTAAAAAATTGAGAAATTGATTCCTGATTCTGTATCTGTTTGATTTTCTCTTTTTATTATAGCCTAGGATTTTTAGCTCTTCTTTTTGGTTGCAAAGTAGTCGCATTCGATTTTATTGGGTAGTGAATAGTTTTGTTGTTTTTAGATGGAAATGGAATATCCTCAATTTTCTGGGAAGATTTTGTTGTGGCAGTATTCCTTTTATCCCTGAGAGGGTTTGAGCACAAAGTAAAGAAGAAATTTTGTTGCATTTACATGCTTGGGAGTTGATTGAGATGCTTGATGGCATTAGGGAAAATTACATAGATTGTCTTTTTGTGGACATTTCTTTTTTGAAAATGGTTTGTCTATCTATATATGCCCCTATTGTTTAAGAATCAGTTCACTTTGCTTTGTAGGGGATAGATGGTAGTTATTTCAACCCATTACACAATTATCGTTTGGAGATTGATCATTTGAAGTATGGGTTGTTTCATTTGTTGCAATATCTTATTGAATGGTTATTGTTACTAATTGTTATCGAAAACGAGGGTGAGTATGCAATGATATGCTTGTAATTGCAAAGTGAAAACTATGTGCATGACACACTCAATCTACCTTTAATTCATTTCTGATGTGGGCATGCTTTGTCATTTTTATAGGCAGTTTGGTGGTCTTATCTATTTGATCTATTCATTTTAGATGATGAAATTATGATTATACAAAAGAAATCACCAAGAAGAAATTGACCAAAGAGGCAATTTTTTCTTGTTTTTGTGTGTGTGTGTGTGTGTGTGGGTGGGGGGAGAGAGAGAGAGAGAGAGAGAGAGAGAGAGAGAGAGAGAGAGAGGAGGAGGAGGAGAGAGAGTAGTATACTACTATTAGTTTAGTTTTAGTTTATTTAGTTAGTTACGTACGTACACTACTTATTTAGTTTATTATATTAGTTAGTAGTTAGG